GCTCTGAAAATACCTGCTTTATGAACAATGTAGAAAAAACTGTTCTGCCCCAACGCCCTGTGCCTACCACTCATCGTTTACTTTGAAACTCTCCATGTCCTTTCGGATTTACCCCAACTCCTGATGCCAGCTCAGCTGCTCTTAGTACAGGATCTAAGTGTGAAAAACATGCTTTATCCCCTTAAGCCACCATGCACCAGACTGCCTAATTCTGAGCTTGGTCTATGGCCAGTTAAGGCTTTGGCTAAAACGAGAACATTTTAAACTTTGATCATCTCAGTACCAGTCCCTGAAGTACTGTTTTGCCACCAAAGATTGGCAGTATGCCCATCTCTTTCCCTCACTGCTCCTGAATCGGATACGTAGTGCCAGGGAACCCAGATGCCTGGCTAATCCCTTTTGGGCCAGCAGACTAACACGCAGGACTGGAGGAGCTGGCAGTCTGCGGAATTAGTTACACCAGTGGAAAGCAAGAATAAATACTGTGAATTTAGAGTGATAACTTTGGGGCCCACTTTGCACAGAGGTAAATGACAACATTACCAGCAAGTCAGCGGCAAATTAGACTTTGCGATTTCCCAGATGGTGCTGCACCTTTACACAATAAATATCATAACATAAACTGCTAGTCTTCTTTTACCCTTCAGGAAGGTAATGCTAAGGTTCTTTCAGGGGCTTCACTGCTGTAAACAAACTGGAGAGAAATCTTCAGCAAACAGTTATAACATGCAGAGTTGTCACTTAATTATATGCTCGAGTTACGCTACATATTGAGTGGCACTAATTGCACTGAACTGGAATATTACTAACACATAGCTCAGCTACAATTTCATTTGTGTACACAGTATTGTTGAGTAATTTCTGTGCCATTAAATGTTGGCTTGTCAAGGTATGGATTTCCTAAAAGAGCTGCACCTAATACAGTAGAGGCCAAGGTCATGGAGAAGTATGTCTAATCGTGGAGAAAAACCTAGCCATCACATGTAAGTGCAAGACTAGTAACTCACTATGCAGACCCCCTGAACCTGGCACTCTCTCATTTTACTAGTGTATTTCATGCTGTCATGGAAAACAAAGCACAATCTGGGCAAGCTCACAGGTGGGCTTTTTCATTGCTAAAAGAAAATAGTGGGTTGCAGGAAACGCTTTTTCATTTCTTCTTCATGCACAATAAAAAGCTAATTGAAAGACAAAAGGGAAGAGAGCACTGAAACAAAGGAGAGAAATGTAGTAACCCTGAACAAAAGGAAAGACGTAGGGGAAGGAAGATGGTCACGAAATTAGAGAGAGATCTTGGGAGTCTGCAGAAGGGAGAGCAAAGGACACCGTAGGCGACTGAAAGAAGGACCAAGAATGCTGAGGATGGCTGAGAAAAAACCAAGAAATAAGAGGGTACAGGGAAGAGAAGGTGGTTGCAATGGGACAGGGACAAGGTTCCTGGTGCAGTGAAGATGCTGAAGAAAAGCGGGGAGAGAAGACTTGCTGGAGGAACATGTAAAGCTATCCCCCAGCTTTGTCTTCACCAATCATGTGTTGTCTAACTGGAAGACATCCATTAAACATTCTTAGTGTCTTTGTTACAAAAGGAAAAATAGTTAATGTACAAGTGTTCAGCCTGTCTGAAGAAGAAGAAATCAGGGTGGTCCCTCTAACTTATCAGACGAATCAGAAGCAGAGGTTCAGAGCCTGGCTCACTTCACTTGAATTACCTGGAAGAAGTAGAAACTTTTCCTCTGAAATTAATTGATGGACTTAATTTGCCATTTTGCTGCCATGTAAATCTCAGAATTTAGGGCTTTTCTTGTTAACCTTGGTGTCAAGCAAAAATTCGCTTCCCTTCACACATTACCATTCATTCCAAAGCACCTCTAGACTATATACAGGCATATGTATCTATACATATATATATAAAAATATAAAATAGTGGCCAATCTGCATCAATACAATAATACCACATATAGGCTTGAAAATAAAGAAAGACATTGTCTATATATAAGCATTAGTAGCAGATCAAGAAAAAAAATCAAACATAGAAGACAGGCAGAAAGCCACCTGCCAAAAAGCTCCCATCTCCATGCTCTAAGTCTTAAAAGATAAGGTGAAAAAATGCAGGTACCCGTATTCTTTTAGGGACAGATAAAAGGGGTATTACTGCAAAGCCTTTATATGTAGGAGTATATTAACAAAAATAGGTATGAAATGCTCAAGGTCCTCTATTTCAAAAAGTTCAGAAAATCCTTTCTTTTTGCTCTTGGCTCTTCAAGAGGATCCTTTTCAGCACTCATTAAAATGCACTTTTGAAATGAAATGGCTGATCAAAAAGCATGTTTTTCTTTCCTCAGGATGAAATATGTTTGCCTGGCTTTAGAACTCACCTTTCAGAAGTATTAAAAAAGTTATTACTAATGTTTTGGACAGTATGTCTGAAAAAATCTGATAAATAGCTCATTCTAAATCTTCCAAAATTACTTCAATAAAACTAGAACTATTATACCGAAATTTTAGAACGCTGAGCATATACAGAGCGCATCAAAGACATTCAGCATTTTTGAAAATTGAGAGGATATTTTTGTTCAAATAGGCTTGTGTTGCACTTAATGTTTCTTTCCTTTTCAAACGCAAGATGTATACAAAAATAACTGACAAAACTCAAACATGAAGCAGTAGAGTTGGGTTTTTTTTTGTTTGATTTGGGTTTGGTTTTTTTTTTTTTATAACTAGCCATGAACATAAAGAGAAACTGGGTTCTCTTGATGGAAAAGTCTTTGCTAAAGTGTTAAGCAAGAACTAATAGCTATGCTATCTTTGCCTTCTTTTGGGACAAACAAACAGCAATTTGTATTCTTCCATTGTTTTAAGGAGCTAACAAATAAAATAAAACAACAATTCTATCATATCACTTTTTCAGTAATTGACTAGAGCCATGGTTGATTTAACACCTCTGAAAAACAAGAGTGCAAGAACATGCATATTTTAAGAGCATCTGACACTGGTTCTCTATGGGCCAACATTATTTACCAGTTCTATCAGGGTGCTATTATGTTGCCTGTACATACTAATATAAACCTGTTTCATCAAAAGCATAATTTGGTGGCAGGAAAATCTACTGCAAACTGATGGTTCCCTTGGTTAATATTAGTTCTAATGTAAGCTGCAAACTAGCAAAAATAATAATGAATTACCACCATCCACAGAACCAGTCGTTAAGGAGAAAAGCAGTGCATTACACACAGTAATACAGAAATAATGCTATCAAAACAGTTGCTGCAGTGGCACGTTTTAGACCTGTTACCCACATTCTATTCTTCTTATCTGTCATTCCTTAATGTAATTTAATGAACAGAGTAAGTTTAAGATGAAGCACTAGACAGATTTTCTCGTAATTACAGTCACTTCACTTAGCAGAAAGTGTCATGTGACAAAAAGGTTTACAGAAATACTAAAAGGAGTACTAGAAGACTAGTAAGTAACTGTGTATTCATCAAAACCAACATTATGTAGTGATAGTAAACCAAGGTGCATGTCTGAAATATTTCTACAGAAAGAACATTCAAACTAGAATAAAGACTCACATATACCATATGTTTTAGATACAAAATATGTACATTTAAAATAAGTCCTTTAGTGTTGTTTGATGATGAAGGCCTGATGCCAAAAGACCTACATACTGCTTACATCTCTTACATTGAATTTCTGTGTAACTATTCTCATAAACCATTTGCACAAGCCAATCAACCTAATTTCCACCTAGATCCATTTTAGGAGCTCTTGCAAGCTGAAGACTCACAGAAATATTCAGATCATTCACTTACAAACATCATTCAAATTGCTAAAATCGGTTGCCTAGAATCATTTGTTCCTAAGCACTCAAAAGCAATCCATGCGACCACAGGCACATCACAACTATCTAGCATACTTCAGAAACAAATTTCTTCCAAGTCCTGATCTCTTAAGGAAATCTTGGCATGCCAACCTCCTTCACGCTACTCTGAGTTCACAACAAGCAACAGATGCGACTGAAATTTTCCATCTTCCCCATGGCAGGACATATAAGACAGAGGATTTACGCTCCCTCACACCAAAGGCTGTTTAAATGTGATGAGGGGATAGGATGAGAGGCAATGGTACCTGCAACTTCAGTGTCAGCCCCACCTACAGGCTGCCTTAAAGATGGGCTTGATCAGGTCAGTCCTTATGAGCTTTATCTGCACCACACCTCTGTCAGGGTTCACTTTAGGAGAATATGCCTGGACTCAGTCCTAGGAGGCTGCTTCAAGTGCAGCTCCTTCAATCTACACCCCGCTATTAGGGGATCATCAAAAATTGAACTTAGTAAATTTGCTTCAAATGTGTAAATAAAACCAGCACGCTTGGAAAGCTAGCGTACTCTCTAATGGCTAAACAACCTCAAAGGGTGCTGTACACAGTATGTTAAAACAAAGCATCAAGGAAATCAAGTGTGATTCGTTTTCAGTCAAGCCACACAAAGTATAATTAATGCCAGAGAAAATTAAATGTCATCTGCATTACTGTTGCCATGACTATGTGAACCCAAGATCTTATTTAATAGCTACATCTCCTCTTCTTTTTTCTCACTTAAATGTGTATATGAATTTGAAGTTCAGAATGTAAAGTATCAAGAACTTCCACCCTGGATATTTTTCTCTTTCTGGATACAGATGATTTTTCTGAACAGGTTGCTTCTTCCCTACTATGGATATGGAGACATATTTCAGATAAAGTATCTTATGGAGTACCAAATTGTGCTGGTTGACAGTTTAATTTCACATTATTTGGCTGGCCATTTAGTTTTTATCAGCTCAAAAAAAACAATGACAGGGAAAGCCACATGGGGAATTATCAAGCAAATAAAATTACACTTGAATTAACAAGCTGAAATTAGCTAAGTGATTTGTTGCGCAGCTAATCATCCTTGATGAAATCAGCTTATACTCGTTTCTCAGCCTCTAAACCATTAGCACCATTGCAATACTACATACTGGGAATTTGCTGGATCCTGTGCACAACCACAAATGCATCTGAGAGTCCCACTTTCACTGGGTGGTTGGTTGAACTTATCTGTGTCACAGCAACAGGAATCTGGAAGACAAAACACGAAGATATGCATGAAATATTGAAGTAAAAAAATTCAGACTAAGAATAACAGCACTGCCATAATGAACATTTAACCAGTGTAAATTAAAAGTCCTAAATAAATATTTTCTACAATACAGCATAATATGACTAAGGACTGATTGAAGATTGAAGTTACTGTTTTTAATTTTTATTTTATCCCAGTTTGCTTTGCTTCTTATATAACAATATTCACATCAACACTTAGAGGTGGAACAATGATGACACAGAAAAGAGCAGTAATTTTCAGTAATTTATTTCCCCCAGTTGAAGACGAAGTGGGATGATGTGATAGTATAAGACAAGGAGGAGGACGCAATACCTCTTGTCTGCTTTTGAACACGAAAACTGTAAAAGTTCTGCTTGGGATGAACATTTTAAAAGCTTATGGCTTAGTTAACTTGCACTGAAAACTGTTTGAAGAGCTATCTGAAGAGAGCTCTGGCCCAATGGTATTCATGTTTAGTATGTCTTGGAATAGCAGGGAAATTATCAATGTCATGGAAAATGTGGAAAATGCCAGATGTTCACTTGCCAATATCTAGAGGAAGAGATAAAAAGACTTAGATAGCCGTAGACCCATCCAGCTTTACATAACAGAGATATTGATTCTGGGCAACATGGCTGTATGAAAACAGGTCTCAAGTTTGATTTCATTCTTTGGGCAAGATTGCAGCTTTGGCTGATACTTGTGTAGATGTAACAGCTTTAGAATTTTGTAAGGTGTTTGACTTAGTGACATGTAACGTTTATACAATATTAATATAGTTAACTAGACTGACCACAAACAGCAGCCACCACTAAAGAAGCAACTCAGACTGGCAGTGTGTCTTTAGAGTATATCTTCCTTCTCCAGACATCAGACCTAGCATTGAAAAGTTTTATCAAAGACTGGGAAGGAAACATAAATTTGTTGCCTAGCAGTTCTGTAGATGACGCTGGCAGAGTAAAAATAATGAAATGCCTGTATCAATTAACAAAGTTAGACCTTGCAAAAATTGCAAAGTTATAACTCAGAGAATAAAGACTGCAAGGCATAGGTTTGAGGACCATGTTCTAGAAAGCAGCAGTTCTGGAAGGAATCTCAGTATTATAATGGATGAACAACTCCAGCTGTCAGAAGGGACATTGCAGCAAGAAAACTTAATTCATGTGATATTTGGTTACACAAACAGTGGAATATAGCCTAGGAGTAGGGTGGCCATTTTACTTGTACCTGCACATTAGATCATTACTGAAATGTTACACAAACTTTGGGAGGATCTATTTTTTAAAAAGATGCTGAAAACTTACAAGAAGGAAGATCAAAAGAGTAATAAAAATATTTTGAAACCTTTTACAGTTCTCAAATGCCATTAACAGAAGAGTTAAAGAGCTCTATCTATTTGGTTTCTCAAAAGGAAAATGGAAAGCTGGCTCGATTACCATAAAAAAGTGCTGCCATGGGGAGAAATTACTCAGGGGCTAAAGAGTTTTTTCATCTAGCACAGAAAGATATAACCAGAAGCTGGAAGCTGCAGACAGATACCGTCAAAGTAGGATAAGGCACGTTTCTATGATTGAATGTTATTAACCACTGGGATGAACTACCAAGGGAATTATGATTCTCTACCCATTGCTGCTTTCAGATCACAGTTGGATATCTTATTTTTCAAAGTTGGTCTTCAATTAACCAGAAATTGCTAGGCTGAAGACAGATGAAACTGGATCAAGTGTAAGAAACTGATACACAAGGTGCTAGCTCAGCTAATCTAATAGTCTGCTCTGGCTTTACCTGTGTAAAACTACCAAAATTATACTGTTGGCCAGTACTTTTCACATAGCAGAAAAATGCTGAAGTAAAAAGCTGGTTACACATCCACTGAATGAGGTCAGTATTGTCCACATGTGAATTAATGGCATAACTTCTGGTATTTGAGTTGAACGTCAGTAGTTGTTCTTCTTTTTCACAAAATATCATTTAGCTATGCTTTTTCCTGATTACACTGGTATCTGTCTAGGAAGAGTTAAATTTGAAAATATTAACAGAAAAAGTAAGTTCTGGTGAATTAAATCGTGTCATAAATTTCCATTTATTTTACTTGATTTGGTGACTGGTTTGGCTGGTTTATTTAGGGGTTCTTGCATACATGATCTGCTTTGGTATAAAAAAAGGAACGATGTTAAACCAACATGAAAAGCAGAATTGGCGTGGAAATACTGCTGGTAATACAGCAGTTTAAATTTGGCTTATACCAGCTTAGCTCTGTGCAGTTATTGGAGAATATGACTTAAGAAGGCTGAAAGCCATATTTTCAAAATCTTCAAAATAAAAGACTCACTGAGTTCAGAAATAAGTTTATAAACTTTCTCCAGCATGAAAGTATAAACAAAATAAGGGAATTATTCACAGTCTCAGAATACTGTAGAGAAAAGCTTACGTTAACTATCAAAGAAACTGTCTTAAAAGATTTTGAAGAGGATACTTTAGAGACGTTACTGAAAATCAAGTTAGAAAAAGCACTAATGAGAAGGATGCAATGACTATTTCTCTTCCAAGTTAGAGAGGAAACACAGCAGATGAAGAAAGAAATCAGAGCTTTATGGACACAAAATGTAGTTGGAATTGGAATTATGAGTGGGTGTGTGACCAACAAAATATGCTGGCAAAATTGGTAGCTCAAGGCACAAATTGTGTCTGATACATGAAAAGATTTATAGTCATTTTTACGTGTGAGTGCAAACCAGGAGAAGCTGCACTCAGGTCTCCTTGAATAAGCCTCCTTAATTTTAAGTCTAGTGCCGTACCACGTTTTTTCTGAGTTTGTGAATAATTGAACAATTTGCATCTTTCCCTCAAAAATTATGCTAACAAACTAATTTATCTCTTTTTTTTTTTTTTTTTCAGGAAGGAGGGATTGATTCTTGCAGTACAAATGCCACAAGTTGTTTGTTGCTTTTTATGTTCTTTTTAAATAAATTTATTTTCATTACAACTTGATTCAGAGCTTGAAAGTCACTTTCAGTTGCACTATTTAATAAAAATTATGAATGACTCAGTGATATCTGGTACTGAAAAAGGACACAGTTGAACAGAAAATACTAACAAAAACTTCAGCAGAAATTAGAAAATTTTGGAGCAGAAATATCTCAGTAGATTTTGGCAAAATCCCTGCAGGTGTCGTCTCTTGTGTCGGGCATTCTAGCGAGAGTGAAGAACTTGCAGAATCATTTTCTAAAACTAATAAGAAAGTTGTAGTAGGGTCCAGCCTAACAGACTCGCAGCTTTAAGAAGCAGCCAAAATTTTGGGTGTATGTTTCAAAACAGGGAAACATTTGTGTAAGGTGAGGAAATTATAAATTAAGTTAGTATAGCCAGCTTTTCAAACTGAGGTACAGCCTCTGTCAAACAATTAGGCATACAGACAGAAATGCAGTCAAAGTAAAAGGGAATCCATGACCCAGAAAAACTCTTTTCTTCTCTTGAAAAACTACAATGTTGTTAAATCTTCATCTACAAATACATATGCTTATTTTTAAACTGTGGGAAAATTAGTCATTTTACAGAACTGAATACATCAGTCACTCAGTGATGAGTGTACTGGGTGCTGTTTTATAGGTGAAATCTTTTGAATGAGATATTAAGATCAAATGGGCTTTTACCATATGATGGTTAATTAGGAAATACACCCTTTTGACAGAAGGCTTGTAGTAAATGATAAAATAGTTTATTGAAAATTACAGTGAAACATAGGTAGCAAGCAGACAGCTAGTGTTCTGAATTCCTCACCTGAATGGCAAGATATATCATGACAGGCTGACACGTTAAACAGTTGAACAATAAGCTAGGAATGTGCAAGTGGTTGCTAATGGGTGTCAGGTGTTTTATGGCATTACATTCAGAGGATGGATTTTAACTAGAATAATTCCAAAATGTATGTTAGCTCTACCATAGACAATATGAACTCTTGTGTTGTACAAGTCACTAGTTTATGAATAAGCTTCCCAAATGCACCCTAGCGCTGGGGCCATTGACATCTATATTTTAGATTATATACTTCAACAAGAGGGAGAAAGATATTTAGAATTCATGCTGAATGCTATTAATCATTGGGAACAGTAATCTAGACAGTATTTACCATCAGAGAGTTCTCAAATTTTATTCTTTTCAACTTTCTCTAAGAAACGTCAGAATCTTACCCTTCAAAAAAGAATAAAATAATGGCCTCTGACCTTATTCTGAAGGAGATGGTAAGCAGGGTGCAATTACTGCCCCACTTCAAAACTGAGTCAAAGGTAAGAGCCAGAGTATACTGCAAAATAATAATTAGGAACACAATAGTACTTATATAGGGTTTTCATTGCCAGTTTCCTAAATAGTTGTTAATTACTCTACAGGCCAAACTGCATGAAACTTAATCAGGAATTTTAAGTTGCATAAACTGATCACCTCATAAAATCAAAGATCCAGTTTCCATGTTAATATTTTTGATAATAATAACAAAGGCAAAGAAATGCCAGGAATGTATAATGTAGGCAGAATATCCATGAAGACTGTGCATTTTTTTTTTTTTTTCAGTTTTCAGGAAACAATCACAAGGTTTAGAGTTTTGTTACTGAAAACAGCATATTTTCCATCATGCATAGCAGGAGCATCAATTTTATCTAACTGCTAGTACTTAATCAGTTCCATTCAATTCTGCCTCCTTTCACAGTAGAAAGAAATTGTACTACAAGCCTCTTTCAGAATTATTTTCAGACTTCACATATTTGGCAATTTGAACAAGCATTTCAACTTTAATAATGGTTTCTAGATGACTACATACATAGAGAGTCATTACTATTTAAATGAACAAAGAAAGCCTTTAGGCCAATGAAATTAAGAAAAATATCCTAAACCATTAACAAAGCCTTTGGTAGCTTTGCCTAATTTGTCCTGTATTAATCATGGACAGCAAAAGAAACCAAATGTTACACTAAGGAACATTAGCTATAACCACTAATGGGAAAAGAATATATAGAATAGTTATTTTGTTCAAAAAGAAGTCAAGCTCTTGAGAATTGAGGTTCTGTGAAATTTAGAACATAAGAAATGAGTATTCACTACTAATACATAAAAAAGTATGCCTTTGCAGAAAATTTTCTTTATTACTATGTTCTGCTGGCTAGTTTGCACTGTAATGTATTTCATACGTAGTAGAGGTGCACAGTAAAATGTTCCTGCCAGATGATGGTTCCTGAGACGTTGACCATTTGCCAGAACACTAAGAGTTGGTGTAAGCAAAATGATATTTAAAGTGGAAGGTGTATGCACTGTAAACAAACTAAATTGGTAAAGAAATAAATATTTGACTTGCTATAGACCTTGCTATATTTCAAATTGTTTTTACCTTTTGAAAACTTGGCTGTACAGCTCCTTCTCCTACCCATTAACTCTTCTGAAAGATATTCTGATGTCTCCAGATTTCACTATCCTGGTGGCTCAGCTCCTTTTCTAAATTTTTGCTTTTTCAGAATCTATTCTGGATTTTGGATAACATTGTGCATTTCAGACTGCTTCCTATTGGGCAAACAACAGCATGCAGAAGATTGGGCAGAACAGCTCCTTTGATATTCGGCAAACCCCAGCCAAGATCCTTCCTTGGTGGTCAATACCAGGTTTATAAGGTAGCAAACCTGATGTGGGATCAAGAAGGATATGAAAAAGGGAATCTCAAATGGTTTGAATAAACAGCAAATAAAAGGTAAAATCTCAAATGGTTTGAATAAACAGCAAATAAAAGGTAAAATCTACCTGAATTGCTTTAGACATAAAAGTCCCTATTTGTAGCTCCCTTAAATGTATAATCAAAGTTATTTTAAAAGTGAATTCTTCAAAATAAACTCCTGGTGCCACTAATACAGAGCCCCTGTGGGATGCTTTATAAAGTTACTCGCAACCTGTCTGCTGCATTTCTTGCATGGTGTTACAGCTTGGAGACTTTCAATGACAATGCAATGAAGACCTCACAGATTTGCCATACATCACTGTCATTTTTGATGAACTGTGATGCTAAAATGAAATGTCACTAAAAAGACGGTAGAAATCTTCTCATGCAACTTTTAGTCATGCTAGTGAGCACTCACACAAGTAATCTTACTGGGGTTAATGGGGCTCCTGACAACATGACTCACCAGCAAGAGAAGGACTTCCTCAGAAAGCAACGGATTCAGCACTGGAAAGTAAATCAATTCCCAGCCAGACTTATAAGCACTAGAGTCAAGTTTAAATTTGCAAGTGTCTCAGTTTTTCTTTTCAGACCACTTGTGTCTCATCAGTGACTGGAAATTTTATTCAATTTTTGTCATTTAGGTGAAAAGCTGAGGTAGTTTTAATGGAGTAAGACGGGCTGCAAATAAAGAGTGTAGTCTGCTGGAAATCTCAGCCTCCAAATCCATTCCCCAAGCAATCACCAATGGAATACACTAGCTGTCACATTCTAACACTTTACAAAAATCTTTTGTCAAAAGATTTACAGACCACTAGTACGTTACTATTACCACTTTTAAAAGTCTCTTTCCTTAACTACGTGCAATAGTTCTAAAGTGATGTTTGGTAATTCCATTCAGGACAAGAATAACTCATGACAGGGGATTTTAAAGATTCAGCAGTGGAAAAAATGCAAATTATCCCATTTGTAAATTCCAATTCTTTCAGTCTCAGGATTAATGAAAAGAATGTTAATAACTCCTCCCCACAAAAGCACTGTGGTTCTGGAGGAAGATTCCAGTGGTGCAGTGAGAGCAGGCAGCCTAAGCCATCACAGCATAGAACTTGTTTATCCACAGATTAAATGACATAGTTGCATGCAATTCTAGGGAACCACATGTGATTAATGAGGTGGCCTATTTCCTCCTGTCTTCCTAAATGAATAAAGTTTTCCACTGCCTGGCACTCTGCATTATCGTTTACGTTTATGCAAAACGAATGCAAGATGCTATCAATTTAGAGCAATAGCTTCTATCACCCATATTAGGTTAATTTTGCACAGGGCTGGACAGTAACAGACAGGGCAGAGCATCCATAACCAAGAATATTAGTGTCCTGAAAATGTCACCATTTTAATGTCAGAATGCATATATAGTTCGTACTAAATTTATCTTAACATTACAAATTGAAGTGTTCCTCCCCACTTCTCTGGGTCTTGAAGGCAGGAACTTTTCTGAGGTCTTTAAAAAGATTGTTTTGTCTTTAAAAAGGTTTCAACAACAGGAGATAAACAAAGCTTTGATGCATACTCCTTTGATCAAGCACAGGCTCCATTGTCCTAAGAAGAGCAAAGCTTTCATGAAGCTGGAGTCAAAATGCAAATAAACTGTATTTTCATAGATTAAGACTACTAACATAACATTCAGAAACAGAGCCAAAGCAGAGCTTGCATCATCACAAGATACGCAAAGCCAGGTATGTGGACATACCAGAAGTTTCTTGTGTCTGCAAAACTAATCCAGTAAAAGTATCCTGCAGCAATCCTGTCTGCAAGGTGCAAAGACATCTATCTTAGATGAAGATATGACTGCTGCTAGTAGAATAACCCAGAACCTCACTAGCTTTCTAATGAAGAGGAGAGGAGTACTATTATTTCTGCTTCATTCAGGTGCATGGCTTCAACACAAGCATGAAAAATGAGCCCTAAGGCTCACAACTGGTCTGTAGCAGAGAGAGAAGAGAATCCAGATTTCTCCAAGTCTGGACAATCAGTCATATCACTGATTACATTTTTTTAATATAAGGAAGATAACAGAAAGATGTACATCTTGAAGAGAAAGTCACATTCTGCATGCCAAACTGAGATTAAAATAACCAAAGAAAGAAAGAAATTGTTCTTTGCCCCTAGAGACTTGAGATTATCTATCTTCTCATTCTCATTTGCATGAAATTCAACTGGAGGTATAACCTCTAAGCTATAGCCTCCAGGACTCTAGCAACAATAGCAAGAAAAAAAAATCATCTAAAGCAACGACTGAAATTCTGAAACACTTGGGAGAATGCAGAAAAGCCCGACCAGGATAACATGTTGGTGCTATGAAGGCAAACCAAATGGCCTCAATCTAACCAGTGTTATCACCAAATAGATGGAAAACCTCACAGAGCTAGAGGTACAGAGGAGTCATTTCTTATTTGAAATATACGAACTTTGAAATATGTCAGTTGCCAAGAAATGATAGCTGCAGGGAAAAGGTGACCTTTTAATACTAACCATTGATTCTAGAGTATTTTCAAACAGGCCCAAATTAGGTGAACTAATTGAGCAAATTAGATTCTACCTTTCAAAACCCAAGAGGAATTTACTAAACAATCAAGAATTTACTAAACACTCAACGCTTACAACAACCCAAAAAAGGCCATTTGAAATCCAGGAGTAGCACATTTGGTTTTCAAGTCCATCACGTGAACATCACTTTTACAATAAAATGTCATTTAAAATGTCAGCAAAATAGTGATCTTATAAGCAATACAATGAAATGATTTTATATAGCCAAACGTTCAAATATCCCCCTTTTTTTTTGAAATTCCTGGCAGGTATCAACTAATTTGTCTACTTAAATGAAAATTTTCAGACCCAACTTACTTCTTTGTAGCCGAAAATGATACGCCCATCATTGAGAAGGGTGGCCTGAAAAGTGAAACTGCCCAGGTTGTAATTATCCTGCAGATGTACATGGTCCCACTGGACAACTAGTGCTGTGCCTGTGAACCCCAGAGTGGGGGTAGAGAGGCAAAGGGAAGAAAAAAATGTGAGAAAAATATTAACTAACTAGGAAAAGTACTTAACTGCAGTTACTTGAAACAAGAACAAGATTTGTCTCTTTTTAGCAACTTTCAGCCCAGTATCTTGAAATGCCAAAGATATTACAAATACAAGTTGCAATGGAAATCCTTTTAAAGCTAGACGCCACAGTGCCACAAATAACTACCTCAGCTACTCACACAAAAGTCTGCTAAAGCAGGAGTGGTCAAGTAACTTGTTTGGAATTGCACAAGGAGTCAACAATCACTAAAGGTAGGAGCCAGTACTCAGAATTCAGGTGTGCTGCCATAACAACCGCTTTGCAGTGGCTTTTTTTACACTATATATAGATATACCCTGATGACTTTGAAATGTGAAGTGCTAATAACATTGCCACTTTAGTAAAAGTTATTATTTGAGGAATTCAGATTCTTCCATTAAGTGTGCATTAATATAAATAACATTAAGGTTTTTTCTGCATGGTGCAAGCCCTTGCTGAGGTTCTGCAAGTTGAAAAATATTCGGTATTGGCAATAAATAAATGTAGTTTAAATTAAAACCATTAAGAATTCATAGATGGGGTAAATACTGAGTCTGGTGTGCAGAGATTTAGTTGCAAGAGGCTTGTTAATATTCATGGGAGTTCTCTGGCTGAATATCCACTTACCGCGCTAAAAATGTACCCCAAGCGACGTGCATTCCCTGTAAGCATGTTTTACAGATGTTGAGGGTTATAGACACATTCAAGCAGCTTGGCTGAAAGACACTTATCACCAAAATTGTGTTTACTGAAAATGACTTTTTCGTCTTTATATGCCTTCCTCAACATACTTCTCTCTTTGGCACTAATGGGAGTTATGTGCTTTGATTCACAGCACTTTAATTTCGTTTCTTCCTGGAGTGTTCAAGGTGGGTCAGTATGTATCCAGCTCAATGCATTTTTGATATATCCTTGAAACATCTTTTGTCACAGATCTTCTGTGCTGTAACTTTCATTAACACATCTTGGCAGGGGATGTCACGAAACTATAAGCATGCAAATTTTTGGTGCATACTGCACTAAGTCCACCACATTATTGTCCCGTGTGTCTTTCATGAGTCTAGTACATGCTCAATAATTGTGCACATAGTGCATTTTTCCTTCTGTGACCGCATTCATTAACTACTTTCTGAATATTTATTTGATTGTATTAAATTTCATTTTAAAGGAATTTAAAGGGACTTTTAAAATTATTGGAGCAAAAATAGCCAGAACTTCTTACAGTCAGTCTTTGAGTACCTCAGATCTATATGCATCTCAAAATCCCAAGCTAAAGTGGAAGTCAGCTGCCTCCAAAACGGTCTTCTCATTCCGTGTGTACATAAGTTCCTTGCAATTAGCTCCATGAGTGAGACTTGGGTGCGTCACCACACTATGTGCTTGTCACTACAGATGCCGCTCTAAATCAGCACACTTACTCAGAGGGATAAAACAGGGATGAATAAGAAATAAGGAGCTGAAGATACAGTTTGCTCAGTTCCTTTTTATTTGGGGTAAGACAGCAAATTCTTTGTCCTAAAGCACATGGGGTCCAAAAGATCATCATGCCTCACAAAGGAAGAGGGATCCAAAATCTTAAAGATGTATTCAACCTTGTCATGAAAACAATGTGATACAGCATGATACACCTGGTATGAAGACTGGAAATCAGGAATACAATGAGAATTATCAATGTCTTCCCCAGAATCCTCAGATTCTTTCAGTAAAGATGACAAATCTCAGGCCATAATGTCAAATAATTCATGAAATGAAAATAGTATTTTTTCTGTTTGAAAATTCCCCATGTAAAGAGGAGGGTTTTCTCACGTAAATCTATTTTATTGGATTTTTAACAAACCAATGCTGCAAATAATGACTAGATTGCAAGGAAATGTTATGACTAGGTGCAAAGGTTATAGGATACATTTTGATCCCTGATCTAAAGAATAAAAATTAACACACCTGGTTGGAAACGTGACATATTTTTTGGTCATGTTCATAATTTGTGCTTAAATTCACCACGAATAAACATACATAGAATGTCATAGGCTTGTCCAGGAAGATTTAAAACAATCATAGATCTCATGATATTAAGTCATGATACTAAACTCTCTAAGTTTTAAATTCAGAATAGACAGCCACTGCCATTGTATTGGATCACTAAAGGCCTGAGGTAAGGCACCTTTAATCACATAGGTTATGTTTTCAAAATATTGATTATAACTGACTTCATGAGACAAATATCCACACATTCAAGGCCTTTGAAATATCTCACAGAGCTTCAAGTATAACACTGCAGTTTGCCTTTTACCCTTTCAATCTTTTGTACAAGGGACTGTTGAGAACTGATGGTGTAGATGAGTGTATTGGATTCCAATCCTGGGACTCCATGCACACTTAGTCATTGATGGATTTATTAACCTTATACCTGCCCTGCTTCTGTGTATTCTTGCTATTGCATTCCACAAATGCTATTTTCATTTTAGCTGGTGGGTGGACGGTATTTACTATATATATTTTGAAGTAACAGGAACTTGCACTTTTATACAAGACAGATTTTTCCTTTTAAAACTGATAAAATACATTGCTAGTTTGAGTTTATGTACTTTAACATCCAGAAGATACCTGTCCAATTAGGAAAAAGCATTCATGACTCTTTAACTGTGTTCTAAATTAAGAACTGTTTATGGATGTCTAACCACATGCTTTATATAGCCTATGAGTTAAAAAAAAAAAAGAACAAAAAAAATCTAAAAAATCTTCAGTTTTTCCTTCAAAAATAGTTATTTAGGAAAATATGAAGAGCCAAGGGACACAGACACATTCATTTATGAAGGACTACTACATACCATTATCAAAGTATCTGACTGTTGAATTTCTTGACACACTGGGGTCAAAATTTGCCATTAAGGGTGCAATATATTGTGTAGCTGTTAGCATTCGATGCACAACTTCTCCAGTATATATGAAACCTACAATGAAAAAAAAAATATTGAGACCATTTCAGTAACTTCTGAAAAGATTTAATAGAATGGCAGGTTGAACTAGGCATTGCCAGAGCAGTGAAGGGTCATCTGAGAGAAATTAATCCCACCACCAATTTTATAGTGAATTAAGTAAGAGCTAAAATTTCAGGAAAATGTCTGTGGTGGCTGCTAGAAGAACAAGATCCAAGATCAACAATGGAAAAATTACTTCAACAAGCAAGTTTTCATACAGAAATAAAAACAGAGCAAACTCAAGGAAGAATAACTTCAGTTATGGACAAAATGCAGGTATGTGGCATTATCAAAATGAGCTATTTACCACCATGCATATTCCATAGTGCTTTTTATCCCTTCCAAAAATCTGCAATTTGTTTTGCTATTGTAAACTGTTACCTCTTCAAAAGTTAGTCTAATCCTTTTTCATATTTCTAGAGACACAGAGTAAGAGACTATTTCAGACATAAGAGGTGCAACATTTAAACAAAAAAAAACAGTCAGATGAAGTGTGGAACAGATAGGATTTTTCCATGATTATAAACCAAGCAGCATTTCTGCTACATTCTCTGCAGTGTCAGGTCTCACTAGTTTATCCTATTCATCCCTGAATCCACAGTACTCCTCAAATCAGTAGTGGGCTGCTTCCATCAGAAATGCTTACCCAAAACATCTTACTGGTTTGGAACTGGAGTTCTTCCTTCAAGGAAGAACAGTCATATACAGTGAATACAGTAATGCTGCAGTTTTCTTCAAAGCAAAACTTTGTGTATTTTAATGGCAGGAAACCCCTGTCATTTTAAACAATAAATGGTTTACAAATAAATCTGTATCGTTTAGGTTTGCCAACTCCACTTCAACTGACTAATGGGACTAACTTCTTTAGATGCCCCAACCTAAAGCCTGACTTAAAAACTCCTATCACCCTAGAGTGAGTCTTCTCTTAAGTTTTATTTTAGCTTTTGGCTTGCTGGTCAAAACAGACAAACTTTAAGTAGATTGGAGCTATAGATAGATCTTCAAAACTAAGGTTTCAGTATTACCTCTCCTGTTCAAGTGTTTACCAGAATGGTGTCTTATGCTGAAGTGTTTGCTTTTTCTTTTCTATTGATTTAATGAAGTATATTCCAACAGCAAACACCCCAATAACAACAAGAATATTAAAGTTGGCTCAAAATTTTCTAACAGAAAAAATCCTATTTGGAAGACGTCTCACAGAAATTCAATTCTTTACTGGCAAATGATAGTATCCACTGCAACAGTATTTATGCTGGTTTGTGTTTTCTTTTCTTTCTTTGGCCATATTGAGAGTCTTTCTTCCTCTACAACCCCTTTTACTGTCAAGCCCAAGAGGTCCTTTCTTCTCACATTTAGTATCATCGCAATACAACACATGATGAAGGAGCATATAAATCTATCCCTAAAACACGATTGTGAAATTCCAGAACTAAACACAAACCTGAACAACTGGAATTACCCTCAAGGTAGAAATACTATTTTCCAGCCAGTTAATATATGGTATTAAAAAACTATTAGTGTGCAACCCCACTTTCTTAACAATAGTGTCTCCATCCTAACCACTGTGATATGAGGCAGATTTGTTAAAAGGCTTGTTTGACATGATATAGGAAATCTCTGAGAGCATGAAAAAAATAACAAGTTTCTGGAGTGCTTTAGGCATCCTTCTATTCCTGTCTTCTCCTGAAACATGTTGGTAAATGCTTGCTAACTGTTCATGGAACTAGTTCTAGAAGTCATGAGATGCTATAAACAAACAAACAAAAAATGTGGTTCTTTGGAATCATATTCCTGCATGGTTGCTAGCAGTTAAGATCAAGTACCATGAAGTCAACTCAAGTGGAGGTGATAGGAGACCTAAGAAAAAGCCAGATGTGCAGAAAATAAAACAAAAGATTCAGTTGGAAACATTTGGCATCGAAAAAGGGGCGAGCTAGGAACCTAGCTGCCTTTGCTTCACTTAAAACACACCTATGTATTCAAATGATACAGTATTTTAATATCTGGACACCTCCTAACTACTAAATTAATTCTTAGGACTAAAGTACAACTGTTTTTTTTTTGGGGGGGGGGGGGAGATTCTTTCAGTTAAATATCTAAATACCACTTTTCTCTTTTGCTTATTGATAGGGAAACACCAATTAAAAAAAAAAACAACTCTGCCCACACATATTTACAAGTCATGTATATACTTGAACTTTCAGAATATACAATTGTGGCTGTAATTTTACTCTGTTACTCATCATTTTAGAATAGCCAACAGTCCTGCCAAAGTATAGTTCCTGAAATGCATTTTCATTATTTCCTATTTATTGCTGTCTGCTTCTAAAAGGTCATTCCCTTGAGAAGTATTCCCTTTATGCTTATTTAGACATTTTAAATACATATCATTTCATCAAAAATTTTTGTGGCTTATTATCCCTATGGTCATGTGCACACATATTTTAACAGGTCTATAACCTTGAAACCATTCCTCAAAAATATTTTGAAGACAATATAAACAAAACCTTTGAATCCATATTCATGTATTACAATTAGCCTTAATACTTCAGTACTTATTCATCCCTTGCACAATGGTCCTATCTTTACACACAGTTTCCCTTTCATGCTTTCATCCCATTTACAGTATAAATGTCACTATTATAACTAATAATGAGGCAGATACAATAGGCAAAGAAAGGACTTAACTGTGCTGGAACACATAACTAAGTAAATCAGCCCAAGTAATTAGTAACCACAAAGCGTACTTCCAAGTGTTTGCCGGATGCAGCTTTACTTTAGCAAAAATGGAAAGCAGGAGGTGTATGATAGCTGGGAAGCAGGCAGGCCTTGCATGAAGATCATTCTAATGAGAACTCCAGTCATGCATTGGAACAACTTGAAAAGAAACACAAAGTCATTCCAAATCATCCCAGAGATTCAAAAGCCAGTGTTGAGCATGGACATTTTATCATTGCCACTACAACTTAAAGAAAGCAGCAAATGTAAAATTAACTTAGTCCTGAATGGACTTCCGTAGAAAATTGGCTTATACTACCTGTGACCTAATTTTCTGACAGTGGTAAATGCTCATGGTTGGTTCATTTAGTCAAGGAAGAATTTTTCAGACCTGCAATTTCCTGAACCACTGAATCTCTCCTTTGTGGGAGGGGTTGGCAGAGCTCTTTTCCAAAACTCTCCACAAGTACTATACCTAGAAGCATAATATGATCCTAAATACTGGAATTGAAGACAAATAAGAAGAGTGCTCGGCATTTTGTAGGTTTTATATGTATATATAAATCTAACTAAAACTAAGTATGAACTAATACTAAAGCCACTTGTAACTCAGGGAGGGTATACTCCTAGTCCTCAGAGTGTACAAATGCACACTCAGAGGAGAAAACTATATATGTATATATAACCACTTAAATATGAAAGCACACTTCCACTTGATGCAGGACCCTGACTTGATTTAAAAATGCATTTTACATCTGAATTTACCCATTCCAAAATATGCTCCATATCTGTTGCATTTTAACATATTAGATTTACATATAAGATTTAACATATAAGATTACAACAATCTGCACATAAGCTTTCTGTGGTTTCTTTTTTCTACTCCTAGCTGTGCACAAACTCAATAGTACTTAGAAAGTTTTTCGGAAATGTTTGTCAAGTGTGCAGAATAATACAATACAGGTTCAAAGCAGCACAGGCAATGAGTCCTTTGAAGTTGCTATTGTGCATCTATAAAGATATGATAGGATATGGAATATGAAACATCTAGGTTGATAACTGTCTTCTCCCTTCTAAGACCCTGCATGAACAAGTTACATAAACCTGAGCCTGATTTTATATATGTGACATTATGACAAACTGTTTTTGCACGTTAGCATTTAGCTGAATTAGAACAATACTCACTTTAGATTATAATTTCATGTGTGATTTATTTTTAAATATCTGAAACAACTGGTCATATCTTAAAAGCATCATACTGAATACAGGGTATAAATGAATTATACTTCTATGTGTTTGTGATGAGTAGGCTCTATTTTGAGAATATATATTTTAGATGTTCAGTACCTCTTCAAAGCTATTATTACAGTTCAGCCTTCACCTATGTGGTGGGTTGACCTTTGCCAGCTGCCACATGCCCACATAGCTGTTCTCTCACTCCCCTTCCTCAACAGGTCAGAGGGACAAAATAAGATGAAAAAACTTGTGGGTCCAGATATATACAGGGACAGCACTTGCCAATTACTGTTATAGGTAAAACAGAATTGACTTGGGCAAAATTAATTTAATTCATTGCCAGATAAAATAGGTTTGGATAGTGAGAAACAAAGACAAATTAAAACAACACCTTCCTCCCACCCCTCCCTTTTTCCCAGGCTCAACATCACTCCTTCATTCCCGACCCCTCTACCTCCTCCTCCCCATTGAGCAGCGCAGGGGGATGGGCAATGTGGGTTGCAGTCAGTTCATAACATTTCATCTCTATCGCTCCTTCCTCCTCATATTTTCCCTGCTCCAGTGTAGGTCCTTCCCATGGGCTGGAGTCCTTCAGGATAAACCTGCTTCAGCATGGGTCCTCCATGGGCCACGGTTCCTTCAGGACATTTCCACATTTCCAGTGTGGGGTCCTCCCCAGGCTGCAGCATGGATATATGCTTCAGCGTGGGCTCTTCCATGGGCTGCAGGGAAATACCTGCTCCAGCCTAGTCTCCTCCACAGTTGCTTCAGTGCCTGGATGACCTCCTCCCCCTCCTTCTCTCACCTTGGTGTTCACAGGGTTGTTTCTCATGCTTTTTCCTCACTCTTGACACTGCTGTGCAACATTTCTTACCCTTAGATATGTTTTCCCAGAGGTGCCATCAGCTTGGTTGATGGGCTCAGCTGTGTCCTGCAGTGGGTCCACTGGAGCCAGCTGGATCCGTCTTTGTCTGTCATGGGGCAGCCCCTCACCTCCTTCTATAGATGCAGCCACCCCA